ACCTGGCTTTTTGATAAATCTTATGATAATAGTTGCTGATGACCTTAAAATTTTATTTCACATACTACAACATATTGCTTTGCTTCGGGCTAAGTGTCATAAACAAGACTATCTTTGTGGTACCATGTTGCTATGATTTCTAAACTTCATGATCCTCTTCCATAAAAGAATAAGCCTGCTCACAGCACATACAGAACAACACATAGTGTTGTAAAGTAGGATAATACTGCCATGTATTGCATGTTATAATTGTGTGTTTGTACACTGCTTATATATTAATCAGGTAACTGCTTTGTTTTTTAAAAATGCTCTGGCTATTTTCTGTAATCTTCTTTGCTTACTCTAAAGGTTGATATGATGAACAGGTGTGAAATTGAGAGGTCAGCTATTTTCAAAGGGCAGGGCCATAGCTAAGAAGATTGAGTTTCTTACACTTTCTACCTTGTGATGTTTTGATTTTTTTAAGTTGCTGAGCTACTTTATTGAAAACATATCTTCTTCTATTCATTTTTATAATAGCCAGTGAGTTAAGATATGGATTATTATTATTTCAGTGAATATTTGGTATGTTTTTTTATGATATAGAATTAAGGGACTATTTCATGTATTTGGAAGAGTGTATAAATATGGGAAATAGTTTACTTGCTAAGATAAATAGAACAGACTGTGTCTTTTCATATCCCATGCCAAGTGCATCATTTTATCTTGTCTCTTCATATTTTCTCTTTTTTTAACCTATCTTCAAAAGTTTACTAAACCATCCTAGATTTGATTTAGTTTAGCTTATTCAGTTTAATCAGACCTCAAAGAATGCTGTTCACATTTCAGGGCCAGAAAAAGAAGGAGTCATCATTGCATTTCAATTCTACCTACAACTATTGACAAGAAGCAGTTAATGTCATGAGAGATAATAACAACTGAGAAATCACACCCTGAAATAATAAGGTACTACAGAAAAATAGAAACTTGTACTGCACATAGAAAAATGTACAGAACTGCAGTGGAAAAAAAGAGCAGTAGAGATAACTGTAAATGTCTTCTAGGCATAGGAATATCTCTATCTATCTATCTATCTACAGAGAAACAGGTAAGCACAACACGGCCTGGGAGACAATATGATTTGTTTGAATTGACAGAGGATTTCAGACAGCAGAAAGATTGTTTGGATTTGGAGACAAGAAGAAAGATGCACCAACTTTGATCAAGAGTAATATTTTAATTCAGTATTTTACTATACTCCATAATCAGATGTTGGAGTCATGATTCACAGCCAAATAAAAATTATTTTTTAATCCATCATAGATTTACCTTTGCCATTCTCATGTCATTATCATGAATATAAAGAATTAAATACAGTAGAAAAACGCTTAGGGAAATATTTATTAACTTTTCATACATTGTATTGTTTCATATTTGAAAAATGAACATATATGCATTTTACAAATATAGAAATAATGGGAATTTTTAAAGAGTTGTTGGTTTAATAAGGTTTTAACACACTACAATAAAATATTTATTATGAATCATGTCCCATCCAAAGTTAGTTTGAAAGCCTAGTGAAAATTTAATTTACAGTTTATAAAGAGATATAGTGTGGTCAAAATATTAGGTTAATATACAAATCTAGTTTTACAAGATGAAAAGTATGCCGAAGTTTTAAATTGTAATTTTTCCTGAAAATTCAAGGCCAAGAAAATTTAATCAAGTAAGTACAACTCTCCTTTTTCAGTCATTCCCTCAGATAAGAACACAACCTGTGGAAGTGCCTAGAGAGCAAGGCCTATCGTCACATGTTCATACTTTCTTGCAGAAGTCGATCATCTTACTCCTCAGGTCCATAGGAACTGGGTATGACCATATTCAATTAACCAAAGAAAGTTTCATTTCAATAGATACTCACTGAAAATCTGATAGAAGAGTCAGCTATATGAACTGAAAGCAGCAGAGAGATCTGCCTTTAGTTTTACCTATTCTGCATTTTTTTTATCATTTTCCTTGTCCCCCCCCCCCCCACAGAGAACAGGCCTGGTGATATAAAATAGTATTTATGAGTAGAAAAAATACCAAGAAAGTATTATGAATGTCATAGTGGGAAAATAAAGTCATTATTTCCCCAAATTTTAGTCTAGGTATTTCTAAATTTTACATTTAAGATAGCTTAAGATGACAAATTAAAATCATCTTGCTTCTCTGTTAAAATGTTGACAAATCCAAAGGTGTAACTATTCTGTGATATAATTCCTTACCCTAAGGCTGAAGCTCACTCGGAAACTATGGCTCCTTTAACTCAATGTTCTATAACGTTAAAGAATGTACAGTATCTATCTCATTTATTTATTAATGTTTGATTGCAAAATCTGTAGTGATAGAAATGGCTGATACAAACATGATCTTTTTAAGATAAATTGTCTACTGCCTGCCCTTGCTTGATTTGTCAATTGCTTTTGATACTTTTGTTTCTAAACATCAGAAGTCCAGCCAGATAAAAGGTGATGGTTGTTATATCATACCTTTAATCAATCATATGAAGGAGATATGCAAAGGACCTCTCTGCCACACTCAGTTTGGCTTTTCACCAATACTTGACGAGACATGAGCTGGCAGCTCTGCTTACCAAATAATCCTTGTCCATGATGATGCACAACCAAACCTTTCTTAGCTAGGGGCTGACAGTTCTTCCCAAGACCTGTTGTTCCCATTCAACATAGCAGCGTGACTAAAAGAGGTTGCAAAATCTACCTCTCCATCTAGGAAGAGTTTCACAAGTTCTTGTGACTTATTTCAAGTTCTTCATATGTAATATTAGGAAATTTGACAAAATCATCAAATATGTCTTCATTTCATGCAAAGAAGTATACAATTGAATATTTGAAATTCTTTTAAATCTAATATCATATACTACAAATGCATGAGAAGACTTGACAAAATAACACTACCGGAGTCAAATATAAGGGACAAAAAAAAGATTATGTTGTTTTTGAAGGGAAGAATTTTAGTGCTGGCACCTGTGTTCATAAAGTTATGTAGTGTTCTTTGCATTAATGAGATATGGCATATTGACTAAAACTCTTAAAAGTAGAAATCAAAGACCAACCCATTAAGAACTGAAGAAATGTCAACTTTAACTCTGTTGTAATTTAGACCTGTCAACAAAATTATCAGGATAGCAATTTTACAGATAATTTCTAGGCGCTGTTTTGAGTGTTCCACTTGTATTTAATGAAAATATGCTTTCTCAAACAATCAAATATTTGCATTAAGTTCTACTTCAGGATGTTTATATTTGGTTAACTAAAGAGTCAAAGTGAAGCATTCAGTTTCAATGGGATTTGAGAGTAGCATACAATTAGAGGATTTGGAAATAGCTGGGTACCTACTGAAAATTAAGGAAGTTGTTTACTATTAGATTGAAGTCAGTTTGAACATTTCATTCTTATTTTGTCTTTCCATGGGTGCATATTTCTTAGATGTATGGAATAATACTTGTACATTTTTCCCATTGAATATATTATTACAAGTAAATAAACAGATGTATATTTTGAAGATCAATGTTACAGGTTCTATGAAAGAAGATCCCTTTAAAAGGAATAATTTAAAAAGAGTCTTTCTGTGTGGCTTTCTTTCATACTCCTATCCCACTCAAAAATATCATACCACATACCTGTGCCTAAGATTAACTATACAGTGTATCAAAGGAACTGCTCTGGCACAGAACAAAGCACAAGATTTTGCCTATTGCAGTCATTCAATACATAGTTGATGAAACACAATGCATAGAATCTTTCCAATGTCCCTACTATGGAAAATGGCTATTTCCATCATTTCACACCTTTAGTATTAAATAATTATAAGAGACAAAATGATTGCTACAATTCATATTCATTTCTTCCTTGGTAAATTTACACTTACACCCATTTGCATGCTTAGAATTTTGAATTATTATCACACAACCTGATATTCTTATGAGGAATATCAAGAAAACCACATGTATGTTTATTCTAAGCACACGTTATGTGATAATTCATTACTTTACTATGAGAAAGATTAACTATTCGTTAGAAAGCAGACACACTACCACATAGGATGAACAGTTCCTTTGGAAATATTTTTATTAGTATCATTTTAATGCTTTATGCTTTATATGTACAAAGTCATTCTGAAACAAGTCTTGTGTGACTTTTCATTTAAATTTTCAACTCTGAAAACATACTATATTGGGATTATTCAGCTATCTTGTAGTCTTGATAAGAGAAAAATGATTGCTTAAGACATCAACCTACCTAATTTTGGAAGATAGAAAATTAATTTACCAAATGTATTAGTCTTTTTTTTTAACTTGGAATATAAATGTCCTGACTTTGTAGGTATAAAGAAAGTTTAAGGTAGACATACACGTATGCAGCATGTAATTTCTATGAACATAAGAATTTCTTCAAACTAACTTTACACATTTCAACATACGGATGGTGTCTTAGAAGTATGAAATCCAAATTGGCATATTTGATCTGTCAATATGTACTAATAAATGATACAGTGGCAAATGTGAATATCATAGTCATTTCTAAAAGACAAGTAAACATCCTCTGCCAATGTCTACATTTTACCTAGTTTTTAAAACTGTAAGGGAGATGTGCTCCTAGAGCCAAAAAATGTCACTTTACAGCTTAAGAAATAAATGCAAGAAATAGCACTTTAAGTAGTGAAGAGACATGAAGCATTGCAACTTCATAGCCGGCTAAGGAGCAACAGCTGCACCTAATTTCAACTTGACGTGCTTCACATCTCATATTCATATAGGTATTTAATGATCCAAACATAATGGTCCTATATAGAATAATTACTTATATGAAGGAGCAAACTTCATACGCATTCCTTTTTAAATGATCCTTCAAGAGAAAAACTGCACCGGCTCTTTGAACAATGAATAGTCTCTTTCACCAATCCAAATGTTTGGGGCTAAATAGCCTATCTTTTAAGAGAAAATAATAATAGTGTCAAGATTATTTCTTTTTGACAGGTTCTTTTTGTCTACCCCCTACCCTGTATAGCCAGTACAATGAAATCAGGTAGAATGCCAAACCTATCATTAAGTCAAAGTGGTAGATGGTTACAAGAAATATCAGAAACAAAAGGAAATAAGGTATTTTAGAAGTGCTAGATTTTGAAAGTGGAGCCTCATTGCTTTGAGCTTCATTTGCCTGGATAGAAAGACTAGCGGAAGTAGAGCTCTCCAATTCCTTGTGACTTGAAGAAGATTGTGTCTGTCCGGAGTGTATGGAGCCTTCATTTTCATGCTTTGTCTCATCCATGTTATCAAAAGACTCATTGGTTAAAATCATTGGCCCTAGAGATTTTTCCGCAACACATTCTTCTGCTTGGAAAATCTGGCCCGTAGATCTTGCTTTTCTATTATATGAAGTCATTTTTTCTGAACTTTTGAAAACATCTTCAGGTTTAGACCCAGCATGACTGTGGATTTCACTTGTTGGATTATAATTATATTCTGATTTCGTAGGAATAGATTGAGGTGTCAGAGTAGTAATTGTATTCTCCCCAGCAATTGCCTGTTCAGAAGATGGCACTGACATTTTAGTATGGTGACTGTGAACATGAGAGGTGTTCTGAGAAGCTCTATTCGTGTCTGAGTTGAAAGCAGAAGGAATTACAGTATCTAAGTCTGTTTTCCTTGATACTTCTTGGAAATGCCCCAGGTCTCTATTTGCTGGGACTTTTCTTTTGTCTGTTGATGACATTCTGAAATATAAATCCAGTTTTGACATTGCTTTTTGATCTCCTGTAATGAACTGTGAAGATTCTTCTACAGATGTTATATTTTCAGTGCCATGTTGCTCCCTGTCATGTGTCTTCCCAGGATTGTACATAGACATGGCTTCCTCTTTCCCCATTTCATCTACACGTACATTACAAATATCCAAACGAGATTCCTTTTCAAAATGCTTGTCATAGATTACCCCTGCTGTATCCCGTTGACAAAGGGTATAATGTGAATCATCGCTTCTCCCTTCATGTGGATCAAACGCTGTTTCTTTTACCTCGATGGGCCTGTCACTTCGCACTGTCTCTTGAGGTAGCTTAGCAATTATTGCTTTTTCTCTCACAGACATGCTTTCTGGAGTACTTTCTGATGTTGCCTTAATTATATAAGCTGTATCTCCTTGTGATTTCTCAGTAATACCATGATCAGCTAGTGAAGACAGTTCATAGTGCTCTGTTTCTTGGCAGGTAAACAATTCTTCTGTAGAAGAAGCTTTCAAGCCTTTATAATCCGCTGCTTCTTTGATCTGCTCAGTTATATTCACCTTACTCCCTCTTGCTTTTCCCTCACTTTCCAGAACATTCCAGTTTTGTATATGCAGGGTGTTCTCATTTGGATCTTCAGGATTAATCTGATAGGACTGTTTTCCTTCAACTTGGAAAAGATAAGCATCTTTTAAAACATTTCCATTTTTTGATGAACCCTCTCCACTGGTTGCTCTTTCTAGACTGGTGCTTTGGTCAGGGGAGAGATGTCTGTCAGGAGCCATTAATATAGCTTCATCCCAATGCACGTTTGTCGTTGGTGAAGGAGGTATATCTGCTGTGGTCACCCAGGTGGTAACTTCAGCATCTTTACTTGACAGAACACTTTCATTTCCGGTACTAGCCTTAGTACCTTCCATCCTTATTTCAGTGTGTCCCATTTTGCTTTCTTGGTCATATGAGATTGATCGATGCTTTTTCTTTTGCTTTGCATTAACACCTAGGCTTATTCTTTCTTCCCTCTCATCCTTCCCCTTGCCATAATCTTCTTTGGAAGATACTTTTTGTGCTGATTCTTCCAGATAGGCGGGTACATCTGAATAGAAATCCCTTCTTAAATATTCCCCTTCTTTTATTTCCTTTTCCTTAGCCCCTTCTTCACGATTGTTAATAAGGTTACCCGGTTGTTCCGAAGATGGATGTGGTATTTGCTCTCTGCAGCTGCTCTGGGCTGGATTAGCATTATCATCCAGGAGTTCTTCACTGCTGATATTTAATTGAACTAATGCACTGTTACTGGTACCTCCCACTATTGTCATCATTTCTCCTATATCTGTGGTAATTTCCTCTGAAGGTTGATATCTCCACTTATTTCCGGAGGAATATTTTTCACTGTTGTAAAATTCTCCCCTAAAGGAGCATTCTGCTGATGACCTAGGAGACAAAGGTCTTCTGGACAAATCAGTGGCTGCTTCACCATGGCTTTGCTTCTTCTCTAACTCAGTTTTATTTGGAAAATGGACTGGGTCTGTTGGAAATATACTCTTTTCAGCTCTGGAATCAGCACTTTCAGTTATTAAATGTTGATTTCTCTTTGGGGATTAAAAAAGAACAAAAAAATTAATAACCACATGACCCTTTTAAAGCACACAGTACAGGAGGTAGGTTTTATTTACTCAGTTAATAATTATCTACTGTATTTCCTCAAGTCACTTCCTTTGTGGATTCCCTACGAACTCACTATGCCATAGGTTTCGTGGAAGATCTGGGGAGACTATGACTTCGGAATGAGATTAGTAAGAAAAGGGGTCCAAATTAATCACCCTCCTTCCCCACTTGCAAATATCACATTGTATTATTCAACTATTCGTGCTTGTCATTGCCCTTTCTCCTCACTTAGAATATACACATTGATAGCTCCATGCTCATCAATTAGAGAGCCGCTTCCTGGGTACCCCTTGCTGCATTTACACTTGCTGGAAAGGTGCCCCCATTACAGTTTCTCTTATTAATATGTTTTCTGCAAAGCTTCTGCAAACTATTAATAGCAAAACGTCACTCAAAGAAAAGTGAGGGAGTTAATGTCTCTGCAAATTCTGTTTTAATGACCCACTGCCAACTGGTACTCAACTGTATTTGAGCTCTTCAGTGATGCCAACTGTCAGGATTTAACAGTGAGATGCCTGTGTTTTTTTTTCTCCTCATAACTGACATTTGCATGATCTCAATAATTATATGCAAATCTTACGTTTTTCCCCTTCTTCTCACATAAGGCTCATGTTACTTGTCAACTGCACAGCTGTCTTGTAAGCCAATGCCTGTGGGTTCCACAGATTTGGTTGTATTTCCATCTATTATAGAGCTTCATTGTTTTATGCATTAACATCAGCATAGAGTAAATTAGCATCTAAATTACAGCTCCCTGTTCATTTATTGGACGTACAATCTCATGAACTTCTAAACAAACTTTTGTATTTGAGCCTGCTCATTGTAATGAGTTATACTGGTGAAGCATGTGATTTTTCAGGGCTCTTTCATTATATTCTGTAGTTTGAAAAAAAGGCAATGTTAACTTTCAGCTGGTGAGAATTCTCACAATGGATGACAACTTTGTAGTTTCTTAAAGTTGGAGCAAAGTAAATTTCATACTTTAGTGATGCGCTTGCCATATCACTATGGTAAAGGTGGATTGTGTGAGGAGAGAGATGAGCTCTATTTCTTTTCAGTTTCAGTGCTGACACTTGAAGACACCAATGCCATTTTAATCTTAGATGATTATGAATCCATATATCCTGATGATATGAGTTCCAGCCAAATATAATAAAGGTTAAATTGCATTATGTGACTCATTTATTTCTATTTCTTCCTTTGTGTTAAAAATGCTAGCTAAACCATCTCCCCTGCCCCATTCTAAATAGATTGAATGTTCACCAAGTGTGAAATTTATGATAACAAATTTAATACTAAATTGTACAGTACTGAATTTGTTTCCTGTCTAAAAATTATAGTACTGGCTATTTCCTTCTCACTCAGTAATTCAACATTTTATAATGATAGAAAACGTTGAGATTCTCACCAGGCTAGATGTGAGTAAAACCAAATGCTGCTACGTGCGAGAATTATAGACATATAGAGGTAGGTAGGATCCTAACAATCAACTCATCCAGCCCTCTCATTGTGCAGATGAGTTAGTTATGCTAAGTGTACACTTGTCACAAAGATTAGAAATGCACATCAGGATAGTGCTACCTCTCCTATAATTCCTAGAAACTATTATTCAAAGCCACTGGTAATGAGATAAGATATGAATGTTATTAATGTACCACTGCAAGGACCAGCAGGAACACTCTGAAATCAAAGTGGCTTGTTGATCATGCTACAGAGGGAAGGACAGAATAGACTGTGCTTTCCCATTTGCAAATTCTATTAGTTGATGGCATTGAAAGGCAGACATTGCAGCATCTTTGAAGCATAAATGGATTCATCTTCTCTAATACCGTGGCAACCAGAACACTTACCTTCAAGTCTAATTCATTTTCATTATGTGCATCATGTTTCCTGTTTACGTCTTTTACATCTTGATTGCTGGCTTCTAGGTCTTCGTTCTCATGAGGACAAGCTATTGTTGGGATGTAGGTATCTGAAAAGTATATGTAATTTTTTGTGGCTCTGTAAGATCATCTTAATTTTAGACTTTAACAAAGCAGAGAATATTGTTGAAAAATTAAGTAAGAATGTTTATTACCTGTAATCTTTGAATCGTCAAAGTTACATTCTTCTGATGTTTCTGATGATTCTTTACTGTTAAAAGTAACACAAAATGTTATATTTTGGTCTATAACTAAACACCAAGTGTTTAGTAATGAGGAAATCCAAACTAATAACCAATAATCCAAACCAAAGAAATGTAATTTGATATGACTATATGCTTGTAATATTTTATATATTTTTAAATAAAATGGATCTTTTAGATTATGTAGTAGTAAATATAGGCAGTTGAAAATTTTTACTAGTTTACACAAAGCCATATTTCTAAACAAGATTATTCTGTTCACTTTAGATAATATAAAAGTAAAATAAAAATACAGATGAATGTACATTATATCACCATCATGAAATTAAGCTTTGCAAGAGTATTTTTCCTTTGATTTAAATGATAATGTTTTATAATCTACTAATCTACAATTATAAAATTGCTTTAGTAACTCTCCATAGAGGGAGGAAAACAACATACAGCTAAATACTGAAAAACAGTTCAATTTGTACTCAGTTAAAAGATTTCATATGGAAGTGCTTCTAGTTAATTTTGTAAGCTAGACTTCAGTTCTGTCATGTGTAATCATTTTTTCCTTTAAACTGATTTAGGTTACATTTCCTTTTTACTGTATTCTGTGTCCTGACTGGAAAAGATAAATATCTTTTTTCTTTCTAAGATTTCTCTTTGTAGGTGGATTTTGTGAATATTAGAGTTTAGATTTGTCTACCACACGCTATAAGAAAAATTGTTAGAGACAATATTCTGATTTTGTATAGCTACATTACAAATCAGTTTAGCAGAAATTTTTAACCCAGTTTCTGAATTTTCTTGTACTGTCTCAGCTGAATTCCTTCTCTTGATGACCTCACAATTTTTAAAAGTAGTTCAGATTTTATTTTGAATGTATATCTTTATTGTAAATGTACTGTAGAGAGGGGTTACAATTACATGAGTAAGGTAAGAGTATGTTTCCTATTGAGCATTGTTACACCCTCCTTTGTTTTTCCCTTACCATCCCTTCCTTCCCCATCTCCCCAACTAGTAGTTCAGTTTTTAAGAAGATATATGAGACAAGAAAACAATATGTTTTCTTTAATCTCAAAAAGTGATTAAGGATCAAACTATGTCTTATTATGATGATGTCTGAGAAAAACATTTATTAAGAAGAGAGGTATGAAGGAGATAACATTACATACTGATAAATACACAAGGAAGGAATAGAAATAAATAATGCTTAGTATTGTTTTAAATGACTTTGCACAAAGTAATAGGAAATGAACAGAATTCCTAAAGTGAAAAGAATACAATAATATCAAGTATATCAAAGGAGATCTCTAAAAGCTGAGAAATATACCATGTACATAGATAAGAAAGATACCAATTGCAAAGATGTCAATTCTTTTTTTCAATTGATCTGCAGATTTAATTCAATTGTAACCCAAACTGTAAAACTACCTTTCCCTGAATTTGAAAACACAATTCTAAAGAGAAAAACAAAGGGCCAATGATGGTTGAAATAGCAGAGAGACTTTAAGAAATGTTTCAATTTCATGAGCTCCTATTAAGATTAAGCTGTGAAGACAATATTAGAGTAGTATGGGGACAGAAAAAGTCAACAACAAACAGAGTTGTGTCACATTGAAAACTTTTGTAAATAGAAAATGGAGCATGTCAGAATATAGAAAAATAAGGTAGCTCTTAAAAAGAAAGGCAGAAGAATGATTATCATATAGGAAAAGATGAAAAGAGAACATAGCTAGAAATCATACTCTAATTGGAGTAAGGCCTCAAATCCTTTGAAAATAAATATGAATATATTTTAGTCCTCACAGTATTTTCTTAAATAAAAGTAAGGATACACTACACAGATTAGTCAATTTACAAATATCTTTCAAATTTTGTTCACTGAAAGACTTCTTTTTTTTTCAGTCCTGGGGCTTGAATCTGTGCCTGGGTGCTGTCCTTGAGTTTCTTTTGCTCAATGTAAGCACCCTAGCACTGAAGCCATAACACCACTTCTGGCTATTTTTTTTTTTTTTAGTTTATTAGGATAAGAGTCTCACTCTCATTGGGGACTTTTCTGCCCAGGGTGGCTTCAAACCAAGATCCTCAGATCTCAGCCTCTTGAGAAGCTAGGATTATAGGCATGATTCACCAGTATTCAGCTAAAAGATGTCTTAAAATATATATATATATATATATATACATATATATATATATATATAATCACACAATCAACCCAGAAGTCAAAGACATTAAAGATCTACTAAAATGCATATGAAAAATAGATTTAAATTCATGCAGTGGAGAGAGGGCGAGGATTCACAAAATAGAACATAAGAAAAATACATTTATAAAGAGATGTGAGCATTATTAGAAAAGAGAAAATGGGAAAAAATATAAGTTGCTAGCACTTATACACATTTAATTGGTAAATTCTTAGAAATGTGTCAACACCAGGAGTCTCTCTGGTCACTGTTTTTGTATTTCAGTGCCCTTTGTCTTGTATAGGTACTCTTGGGCATCTTTGTCTTCCCAGAGTTGGGGAAGGGAGGGGGAATCAGAAACGGTGGGACAAAAGGTTAACCAACACAAATCACTATACATTATGTTGGAAATGAACTTTATAACTGGGTGGGAGGGACATCATAGGGTTAGAAGAAAGCAGGAGAAAATAAAGGAGTGGGTAAAACAGTTTAAAAAGAAATGTACTCATTACCTTATCTAATTGTAACCCCTCTGTACATCACCTTTACAATAAAAAATTAAATTAAATTAAAAAGAATAAAGAATTTTTTAAAAAGATACATTGGCTCCACGGGCTTTCTTGCCATTTCTGGTGATAGAATAAATGGTGAACACCAATTTGGAAAGCAGTGTGACATATATTTTTTTCTAAAATTTAACCTGTGCAATCTGTAACTAGTACATTTCCTCTTGCTTACCAAATGAAGAGAAATTCTTTGACATACTACTTGGGGCAATAATAACAATATTTATGATGTCTTTGTTGACAACTGAAGTGACATTTGTACCCATTTACAGAAAGGTGGTTACAAAAGGATGTCATATTTTACAAAAAGGAACATTATAAAACACTCAATATAAATCACAGGAAAGTACAGCACAAGTAAATCTTAGCAATTTAATATTGAGTGAATAGTCTTTAATAATAATTTTATGTATATATGAAAGTGGAACCAGGAAAATTGGAGAGATGGGGGAGAGTTATAAAAGGGGTGAAATTGATCAAGGTGAAAAGTGACATTGATCCATTTATACTTCAATATAACATTCATATTGAAACCACTCTGTACAGCTACTTAAAGATAATAAAAGTAATTTAAAAATATGAATTGCAAAATAATTTTATATAATTTAAATTGATTTTATAAAATATATATTAAGTACATTTATAATCATAAAGAGTTAACTAATATATACATATATATGAGCATAGAGGTGTGGAGATTATAATAAAAATTACATGATAAAAGAGAGCTTGATTTGTAGAATTACATTTGCTTTGATTCTGGGTTTTTCTTCTAATCTTTCACCGGGAAAATAAAATGCTTCACCATCCATACTGTGTTCTCCAGAATCAATAGCACTCTTTTTTTTTTTTTTGTCAGTCCTGGGGTTTGAACTCTGGGTCTGGGCGCTGTCCCTCAGCTCTTCAGCTCAAGGGGAGCGCTCTACCACTTGAGCTATGGTGCCACTTCCTCAATAGCACTCTTAAGTAGTATTTGCAAATACATTTTATTATTTTAGTCTGTTCTACAAAGATGAATTTCTAAAGAGAAATAAGGCCAATGTAGGAACTTTAGATGTTCTAATAGTTCAAGAAACCTGCTATTGGGTTTTTTTCTATCCCCTTGAATACTACAGCTTTTAGCCATATCAACAGTTCCTAGAACATCAGAAACACCACCCTACCTCTATAACTCTAAATTATTATACCTGTGCTAGAAATAAAGAGGGGGGAACAATGGGGTGCTATGTATCTCCTAAAGTCATTTGGGTATAGGGTCAGATTGCTAAATTCCTCATACTAACAACAAAAATGCACCTCAATGCACCAAGTCACTTGGATTTAACAAGGCCTACTGCTCCTGTTAGATGACAAGCCCTTCAGAGATGTAATCATTTAGATAGGTGATTTTGTCTCTTCAACTTTCTGCTAGTTTTATATGCATTTTCATGTGCTTTGATACTATTTGCAGAATACTTAGGACAACACAGAAATGAAGCTTCCAACTAGAGAATTCTAAAGGAAGTAACCACAATCCCTTTCAATGGAGAATTTAGGACACAGATAGGGGAGGCAAAGAGGGTAAGTTTTGTTGAAGGAAATATGTTGGGCCTTTAAGGCTTTTCAGCTTAGAAATGAAAACTAGCACTTGAAAGAAAAATGCCTACGTATGTCATTTTTCTTTCACAATATTAGGCTTGATCTATCCTGAAAATTTGAGGTAAATTTATCCTATAGAACTAGTAAAACAAAAGAGAATTTCTTATAATTACCTGGCAAATGTATTTGATAAATACATAGGGAAAAAAGTGAATGGATTTCAGGCAATAGCATGCTTGTGAAATGTAAATGTGATTTCAAATTTATTATAATTTATGTTTATTCATTCAATCACCATCAAGTTTATTGAGTACCCACAAATTTCCAAATGTTGTGTCACCAAGATAGACAAGAAAGAGTCTTTGTTTTCATAAGGCTTCTAAGGCTAACAAGCTAGTGAAGGTATGTGTTCAAAGAATTAAATAAAACAAGAACACCAGAGTGTGCTTAGAGAGGAGCAGAGAAAGCTAAAAATAGCCTCCAAGAGGACCAGAGGACATGGCCTGCAAGCTGAAACCCAAGGTAGCATCAGTTAAAGAAAAATGAGAGCAACAATTGCACATTGAAGGTATCATATGCAAACACCTTATCAGTAGAAAAGCATTAGTCTAAATATGCCAATTCAAGATAAAATGTGGAGCTGGGTACCTTTGGGTCATGTCTGTAATCCTAGCTACTCAAGAGACTGAGACC